AAATTTTGCTAAAAACATGTATAAATTACTAATTAGTAAGATGACATAACATAAATACCTACATAATAATATAACTATTAATCAACACAAATTTTATGTAACAGATTTAAAACATAAATAAATAAGATAAAAGTAATTTATGGGTAGGTAGAGACATTGCAATATTTAAAAATTTGATTAATATATATAAACTGTGATGATTTCTTAACTATTTTAAGTATGTATTCAAATTCAATTTAAAAAAAATCACAATTTTTTTATGTAGAAATCTAATTGGTAGAATACCCAGCTTCTTATAATTTTGAGTCATGGTACCTTAAAGAGGGTACATATTTATATTATTCAAGTTGCAAGTATAATTCATATAAGTGTAGAGTTTATTAAAACTACGCTGATTTATCTAATAATCAAACAATAAACTTAAACACTTTGTGAACTTTATTGCTGTTGAATATTACTGATTAATAAATATACTTATCAAGGGTGGGCAATTTAATGATCGTTTTTAACTTGTTAAGTTAAATTAAAATCTAAATCAAGTTAATAGTTAAAAGTTAATCCAAAATGTTCTATCAATTGAACTAAGTTAAGAAGTAACCTACATTTAAGATCACCTTTCAACTCAAAATAGTTWAAAAAAAATTTTTCTTGTTTTCGTATAGGTAAAATTAAGATGATCGGTAGGTACCTAAAACTGTTCTATCATTAGACCAAAGACCTATTGTTTTATGTGTTCCAAAAGGTAGCAGAACAAAGTTTGTTAGCATACTCATAACTGATAAATGCGCACAGCAATTTGTATGCCTACAATAGTTCACATAATTTTTTTAAAAAATGTATACTTTTTATAAATAAAAAAAATTCATTTGAAATTATATTTATTGTTTTTCTGCAAATATTCGAGTTGAGACGGACTTGTGAGTATTTTTAAAAATTTTCCAAACCCCATATACATCGGTCGCTTTTTTCGGTGCGTGGCGTCTGGGCTATCGTCAACTCCTGACGTTTTCGCGAGCCGACTCGCCACGATCTGATTGCATATTCTGATTGTCCATGTTATAACGAAGATTTGTATACTACTTAGAAAGTGGAGACGGACTTGTGAATATTTTTAAAAAATTCAAATTATTAATTTTGTTTCCGAAGTCTTATATACTTATGAAAGTAGGTACCATGTCCTTCAGTACATCAATAAGGAATGCAATTGTTTGTTGCTTTGACAAAATGTATTAAAACTATATAGTTATAAAGGCAAGACAAAAAAAAGTTTATTGGTCTGAATCTATTTGATGTAATTTATGGTGAGTGAATAAGTGATATTTTACACTATTTATTTAATTTTTAATACATTTATATTTAGAAAATCCATCTAATCATATATATTTATAAATTATTATACCTATGTTATATTATACATATAGCAGGGGTGGCCACTAACCTTTATTTTGGGAGCCGCAAATTTATTAAGCTATTTTGAAGTGAGCCACTTTGTTAGGTTAGGTAGGTATGTTTATAAAACAAAAATATATTTTTGATTTTATAACAAATAAAGCAACATTCATTTTTTACACTACACAGAGCATAATTGTTCAGGTAGTAAGATAGTMGGTATTAAGAAATGGGATTTTACTTTTGAGGAGTGTTTTTTATATTATAATAGGTATGAATTAATTTTACTCTAAGCTTAGTTTCAACTTTCAAGAGTCACACGAGACTCACTCGTAAGTCGCATGCGGCTCGCGAGCCTCGTTGTGGCCACCCCTGTTATATAGAGTGATTAGATAGATTGATATAATATATATAATCTGTTTTTGGAATTTTTCAATATACATTAAGAAAATATTTTTAAATTCTTGCGATTTTTGTATTACTCAGAGTGTCCTAGCATCATATATAGATGATAGAACTTATATTTTCAAATTAGAACTTTCCATTTATACTGTGAATTGTATTCGTTTAGTCATGGACTCTAATACCTTTGTTAAGTTATTGTGACACCATTTCGCTAAATCAAATAAAATATACAGTCCGCTTTATACAAAAATAAAATAAGTTGTTTGTGTACATTTCTTTAAATTTCATAGACAAATCATCAACAAGAAGTAATGACTATTGATGATATGTATCCCAATAATTTTAAAGCTGTTACTAATACCCATTGATTTTAAAGCCTTATGCWTTGAAAAATTATCTCACAGCTAATCAAACAGTTGGGTTTTTGTACTTATGAAGTCTAGAACCTCTAGTCGAAGATTTTAGTGAAATTCTTCTCTTAGAAAATGATATAAACTCCTCAGAATTTAGAACTTCAGAAAATAGTGTACAAATGTTATCTGAGCTTTGTAAATTATCTTTTGAACAAATTAAAGATATAGCTTCTAAAATCATAGGACAAAGTCAAAATGTTAAATGGTGTCTTCATAGAAAATGCTGTTTAACATCTATTAATTTTCATAAAGTAATTAAATCAGTCAAAAACAATTGATATCCTAATTCACTTTATAAAGGTCTCCTAGGTAAATATTTTGTCGGAGTAAAATCTATTGAATGGGAAAAAACACACAAAAATATTACAATTGAGGAGTTTGAGAAGGCTATCAACTATATTGTGATAAAAACTGATATTTGGTTACCTGAATCTGAGTTTTTGGTAACCAGTCCAGATGGTTTGCTTTTTGATGAGAACTCTTCATATTGCATTGAAGTCAAGTGTCCTTATAAATTTCGAAATGAGGATTTAAAATTTTCCCTCACAAATATAAATGATTATATTATTAACTTTGATACAAACAAAAATGATTTTGTTTTAAATTCTGATCATGAGTATTATGACCAAATTTAAGGTCAAATGCACATGAAAAATTTCATCTGCAATTCTTATTATATGGAMTACAAAATTTTTAGTTGCTTTTAAAATTAATCAAGATCCAAATTGGTCATAAAATGTTGATATTTTATTACGTTTTTACCATCAACAATTGATTCCATATATTTTAACAGATTTTAACTGATTATTATTATGCATAAAATAATTTAGGTTTATTATATAATATATATATGTATGCTATGTTTGGATTAATTTGTTAACATAATTAAAACAAATTAATAAATATTTGATAGAACAATTTATTTACATTGAAATTATAAAAATTATATACTTTAGGTTAATGTGTAATAGATTTTTAACTATATTTAAATCATTTAGTTTAATTAAAATTTAAAATTTGTATTACTTTGTATAACTACCACCTATATAATACACTTAACAGAATATAACTATTGAAAATACAACCATAAAGTGTGTGTTAGTATTCATTATAAAAAATAATGAAACAAACAAACTCATCTTTATTACAATTAATTAAATAACAATTTATTTATTTGAATAATCAAAATAAAAATATACATACATTTTTTGTAAACCCTTTCATAACAATTTAATTAATATTATAATAAATAATACATAATAATAAAATAATAATTCAAAGATAACAATGTAATCTATATTTTAAAATATGAATTAGTTAATTTATATCAAAATAACTTTTTCTGTACCTCAAATATAAATTTAAAAAAAA